TAAATGCATGCGTGCTCCCTTCTGTGCAAGAGCCGGATTTTCAGAGCCCGTTTCCTGGTGGGAGAGGACAATCTTGCAGGCGATGGCCCCACAGGCCAAGTTCTACAGCAGGGCTTGCTGTGTGTTCAGACTGAGGTTCGCCTTTCCGGCTGTTTGTCCAGGCAGGGGGCAGAGACATGGCCTGATGACCTGCCTCAGCAGCCACATTCACATGACACGCTAATCCGGGTCTCCAACCCTGCAGTGGTTTGGTCAGAGGCTTAAATTTGGCTTATAGAAACACAGAAACAGAGCTGGTCAGAAAGGTCATCTAGTCTGACCCCTGGCTCCAGCCCCCGGCTTATAATCTACCTGTGCAGATGCAGCTTTCTGTTGGCCCTCGGACTGTTGTGGAGTCAGGCTGCCACAAAGCCACTTGGCACAGGGAGCAAAACTCCCTGCAACTCCTGCTGAGCTGCCCGCAGGCAGCCCAGTTGCCCACCAGCCCAAAAGTGCCCAAGCAACACTTGTTTATTTAAAACATTTCTACCACTCCTTGACCCAAACAGGTCTCGAAATGGCTCACAAGTCAATAGCAGCACATTAAAATGCAGAATAAAAATAAAATTCCTATTTAAAACCCATTTACCCTTAAAGTATTGGGAAAATAAAAAGGTTTGGCCTGGCCCTGAAAAGAATGGAGCTTTGGTGCCAGGCACACCTTTTTGCAGAGCAGATTCCAAAACGGGTGCCACCACAGAAAAGGCCCTTCCCCGGGTAGCCACTCCTTTAACCTCTTTCAAGGAGGGCTCCCAAAGAAGGACCTCGGTGGAAGATCTTAAAGTTGGGGGCAGCTGGCAGAAGGCTCCCCACTGTGAACCTCTTTGGGATGGCCTTTGTGTGTGTGTGTCCATGCTGAGCAAAACATTTGTCAAAAAGCTCTTAAAAAGCATCACTGTGCACTCTGGTGCTTTTGCATGTTCCCAAGATGCTAGCAAAGCTTGCAAAACTGAAGAGACACAAGCCCCCCAAGGTTCCTGCGATACAAGAGGTGGACAAGCCATCCTTTTGCAAGCAAGGGTTGCATCAAGCTTTGGAGGCATCTGACAGGTGGTCTTCTGAGAGCTGTCCAATGCTTGTCATTGGCGGATCCTGCTCCCATTACAGCAACTTGGGCAACCACAGGCACTGTTACATGAACCAGCTGTTCCTTAGAGTTGGCGTTACAAGAATTAAAATAAATAAAAATACTTAAATTAGAAATTACGTAACGCCCATCTCCTTAATAAGACGTTTCTTTAAACGCAAGTTAGTGTATGGGTTTCAGTTTGATACCAAAAGCTAAAGTTACTGGGCCTATTATCTGGGATGCAACGAAAGCTTATGTGGAGCTTTTGCCTGGAGGAAAAAAGGAGAAATGAAGCAAGATTCTTAGTGCAAAATGAGCAATACGTGGAAACTGGGAAGAAAGAAAAGGATGGAGTTACTCTGCCATGCAGAAGTTTAACTAGCCAAAACAAGACGACCTCTTCATAGGGATCTTTAGTACAGGGACGTTGTTGGACTACCATCAGTCCTAGCCAGCAGAGCCAATTGTGAAGGAAGATGCAGTCCAAAAACCTCTGGAAGGACACAGCCTGCTAGACTGCTGAATACTGAGTCATCAGCTTTTCATCCAGGTTGTGGTTTTGTTTCCATTGAAAAAAGTGTTGTTATTAGCTTTACTTTTACTGTACTGGTTTTATTGGTATTGATTATTGCATTCTTGTAGTTTGGACCACATAATTTTTAATGATTGTGAGCTCACAAGTTGAAAAAAACGAAAAGAAATGTTTCCAAATCGCAGCTCGCCACCTCTTAGTAGCAGTTGCAGAAAGCTCAGTCACATCATGACCATAAACTTTCACCATTCTCTTATATAACAGAAGCAAGAAAAACAGGCAGAACCCACCAAGAACTGAAAAAGAACGCGGCAACATAGCTAAATGCTGCATGGCAAGCAATGTGACCCCACAGTCAAATGCTCTGGGACACCGAGAAGGAAATTTACATCCACGAAGAAGCCAAGTTCTCAATTTTTCTCTGGGGAGAAAATAGGATTTGGTTTGATAGCCCATTATTTCAAATCATGAAAGCTCTATTATGCCTGTTTTATAAGAAATAAAAAATAAACTTTTGTTATGCGGTTGTACGCTGGTCATCTGAGGTGCTCTAGAACTCTTCCGCTGAACAAACTTGTAGAACGTTTGATCAGACACCACTACCAAAATTTAAGTTTCATTAAAATGATGATGATGATGATGATGATGATAAAAGCTTGCAGAGACAGAAACTTTGGCCTCATGCCTGCCACCGGAACTGAAGACCAGCGTTTTGCATCTCTGTCGAAGGATGTACAACTGGTGTTTTGACCAGAGGAGGTGGCAACGCAGGGGAGTCCCAGGGCTGGCTTACACATAACCCTTTCCCTAGATTAAAACAGACCAGCCTGCTCGAGTGAGAGACAAAATGACTATTCAGGGGTTGGGAACTTGTGGACATGCAAGTGCTGTTGGACTGCCAAGCCCATGTGCCCCAGCCTGGCCAATGGTGAGCAATGGATTGAAGGATCAGGGCTAGGTTCCACGCTTAATGGTTCTACGTGAGCATGCCAGGGAGGATTCTAGCCTTCTCCCCCACTGCCCTGGGTGAGCTGGGGTGGGGGTTGTGGGGGAGGCCCCGAAGCATTCAGCCGTCCTACTTCCAGTGACAGATGGTGCCAAGGTGTCCACGGACTGTGCTGAGAGCCGAGCCCCGCAGCGCTTTGTGCATTGGAACACCACCATTTCTCTTGCCAACGACATTTAGGGACAGTGCCTTCAAAGGATTTGATCCCAGTATTTGCCACTTCAAAAGATTCGATCCCTATTTGCTCTCTGTGCCTTCAAAAGAAGTTGATCCCATGATCTGCTACTCCGATGAGCACAACCAAACCGGCTCCTGTGGAAAAGCGGCCGCGAGTCCACGAACTGAAAAAGGCATGGAGGATCCGGTGATCTCAAGGCCAGAGTCGCCACAGGAAATACAATAAAGCTATAAACATGGCCGTTCTCACAAAAGGACTTGTTCGCATCAGCTGCACTCTCTTAGCCAGAGGTTGTGACTTAGAAGCCAGTTCCTGATAAAAGCTAGTGAGCCTCAGAGATCGCAAAAAGGCCCCGCACCAGTTTCAAGATTCCAAGAATTCTTGAGGACTAGAATCTCTGATTCCCACCAATGCACATGTACCACATCCTGCATGATGTGGAGCCTTCCAGTCTGTACAGGCTCCTTATTTTTACAGAACTCTTGCTCTAATTTCAGCAGATGCTCTCTCTGAGTTAAGACAGGGAAGGTCTGTCCAGGAACTGGCTTCCTGCTTTCTTTCGTGAGCTTCTGCTCAACGGGACCAGCCGCATTGCAGCGATCCGGAAGGGTGGGTGCAGTCTCATGGACTGGCACAAAATCCAGCCAACTGGGCCGCAAGGATGAGAGCTCAGACATGAAATCAGATGCAAACAGCCCTGCTGGACGATGGGTGCAGATTCTGAACCCGTGTTAGAGTCCCCCCCCTTGGGAAGAAGCACTTTGGCAGAAGAGGTAGAGTCAGTTGGACTGAGCAAGAATACAACAGACTAGCTTGGTAACATAGGCAAGACTTTTGCTCTGGAGGCTTCAGGGGATCACTTTATGTGGAAGGAACCGTGTGCAGTGGCTGGAGCAATGCCAGCCCCAGGCTCCTCTGAAGAAAGCAAAGGGAGCCATCCTGTCCCAAAGAAGGAAAACGCGAGCGTTGCGGGGCTTGTTCGGAAATATCCTGAAAGCAGCGATACTGTGGGCCCCTTCTGTCGTCCCCAGGTCAAGAAGGGCTTCTCAGCAGCAAGCAGCCCAAGTCCCCAGAAAATCCTAGGGACTGAGAAGAGGCTGGGGGACAGAGGAGAACTGCGGGAAACCAGTATGACAGCAACGAGGCAGGGAAACTCCTCAAGTTCCAGTCCCCAACCTAGAATATCTGAATCCCAAAACGGTGGAGAGGTTCACTGAGCAGAAGAGAGCAATCCGAGAGAATCATACCAGCGCCTGCTTCACGGTGCACAAATGCTCTAACACTGACCACTCTTTCCCCAATTCTGGAAACAGGACATTGAGAGAGATTATTTTTCTCCCGTCTCAAAAGCTGACCTATAGTTCCACTGCCAGTGTGGGTCTGGAATTTGCAATGGGAGAACTTTGGCTGGCGGTGGGGGAAGGGGGAGAATTTTTGTGGGGGAAGCAGCCCCTCCCCAGTCCAGGTCCCCATTTACACAGAAGCAGCCCTTTAAAAGACAAGCAGCAGAGTATATAGGCCCTAGTAAAAGCGGCAAGGAGGTGGTTAGCTCTCCGGACAGTCAGGCGGCAGCAGGGAAGGTGTCGCCATTTTGGCTTTTCAACATGCCAAAAATTGAGCCCAGAACTAAAAAAAATCCTCCACAGCCAAAATAAATGGCACCCAGCCGTTCCTGTGGTTGTTTTAGGCTGGGAGTGAGACTATTTGTGCGGGAGTCTAAGCAGGAGAGCAACCTGCTCTTGTTTCAGTTTAATGGCATCCACTGCAGATTGTCCTGAAACAACGTGCTGGAGACTACTAAGAGCCCAGGGAGAAGCAGGGCCACTCTTACTGCAAGATCTGGTTTCCTCTTGGCAGGAAAGAGAGGAGGTGCAAATTGCAAAATCACACTTCCTTGCAGTCCAGCTCAGCTGCCTTCTGCTGCTACCCAGAGCTCACTTTCCAGAAAGATTTCCAAGGGCATCTCCCTGGAAAAGCCAAGAGGAAAACAGTAGTGCAATGGACATAAATCAGTAGCAAGTCCTTGCAGTTGCTTATGTCTCACCACCACACACACACACACACACACACACACAACAAGGGATTTACCATCTCAGCACTGTCTGTACACAAGTCCCAAGCTTTTGCATAAAGAGCCTGCATACTTTGCTGGCCCAGAATCACCCGATCCCAGAAGTTCTTGGTGCAACAGAAACATCCATCCAGTTTAATGTTTAGAGAAGAGAGTCCATGAGGTGCCTAGGAATCTTTGAATAAACGTTTGTGCTTCTGTCCTGGGGACACAAGATTGGCCTACAGTCCTGATTCTATTGTTCATTACAGGCACGCAAACCTGTAATGGAACAACTAAAAAAAAAAACAAACTCTCTCGTCTGAAAAGCTGAGGCCAGAAAGAGAGCATTCTTCCCTGTTTTCAGTCTGGTACACAGGAACGGAGTAGCAACATCTGTGATCACTGGCCATTGGACGAATGCAGAATTCTCAGGTCCCCTTAGCTGGTTACAGCTGGGCAACATCCTTGACAAGAGACCTTATTCCGGAGAGGCATCTGTGCGGTAGACTCACCTAAGAAAATAGGAGGGGGGGATATGGTAGAATTAGAGAAGCATGAAAGAGGAGACCATAAACATTAGCCGCTGCTGGAAGAGAACCACATGTGCTTATTCCCCATGGCTGGTGAAGGCCTCCACTGCCCCTGGATGGAAAACAGTGCTCTGAGAGCCAGGAAGCCCAATGTGCTTCTTGGCTGTTTCCCTGACCTGACTGATTTTAAATGAGACTTCTGCATCCCATTACAACGGAGCTGGGGTCGCTCTGGTTTGCAGCTAACAGGGTGAAGTGACAGCAGAGAAAAGGAGAAAGGAAATGCATGGCCCGTTGCTCCTTCCAAACTTGGTAAACCACGACCCCAAAAGTGCCGGCATGGTGGATCGGTTGGTTGGGCTCAGATATTGGAGTGGTGAGGGGAAATCCCACTTCAACCAGACTTAAACCTGGGGGTCGGTTTTGGCCTCGCCAGCATGGCAAATTAAGCGGTGCATGCCGTTCTCTCAGAAAAAGCCAGAACACTGCTGTGCCTCCAACAGAAGCAAATGAAACTGGAACATAGACTCAGTACAGAGACTCAACAGGCAACCTCTCGAAGGTGCCGGTCAACCTGCTGCGTCTCTGCATCCGAAGCGGCCAGCTCACTCGATCCCTCCTATAGCAAAGGCTGTTGGCTGCAAGATTCCCAGCAGTAGCAGAAGCAAAAGCTTGCCAAAGGCAACCATCTTTTTTTGTTTTAATCCCACTTTGTCCACAACACCTGACCCACCTCACAAGATCAGGGAGGGACCAAACTTTCCTCGGCATTCCTCTAAAATTACAGTGCTCCTCACAGCCAGAAGGCTCGAAAGCATCCCACAGAAAGTTGCCTTGGGGCGCCCTTGCTTGCCAGGAGCACCTGGGGTGGAAAGAGCCAGAGGCAAGGAAAAGCACACCAAGATTTCTACTCACAAAAAGTGCCTCATTAGCTAGGCCCAACGTCTCACGAAGCTGTGAGCAAGCCTTCATGTTCTCCAGAACTCTTCTTCAGTCTGGATGTTAAACAGAAAGGAGCGGGTGGGGAGAAATAGGGCCCGCCGTTTATAACAGGAGCAGTGCGTGTGTCCTGGAAAACCTCAAGGGAAGCATGAGAGGCTAACTGCTTCGGTGGGATGGACAGCTCAGATGCTGGGAATGAGATGATTGTGGAAATGGACCCAGCTCCTGCTGCAGCCCGAAGAGCTGGGTCCCCACCTGGGGGAGCCTGCCTGGGGGAGCTTGCCCGGGGGAGATTGGTTCGGGGCAGCCGAGGGGCCCGGTCAACCCGCCTGCGGAAAGGAGGGATAGCAACAACATCCTGAGGCGGGAGAGCTAGAGATGGGAATCTTTCAGGCGGGGAACTCCGGAGATGGACCCGATAGTCCGCCATCACAGCTGCCCAACTGGGGTCTCAGAGGGAGGAGTGCAGAAGGCCAGAGAGGGCCGAGCATTTCACTTGTGTGTGAAATGAAGATGCTTGACAAAGAAGCGCTGGTAAGACTATTACTGCTGGGAGGGAGAAGCACTGCTCCTGACAGGAGTTGCTCAGAATGGCTATTCCCCCAGACAAACAAAATCCACACGATCCCTTGGTTCCACTCCATTCCTTATTTTTTATGGTGCCTTTTACAATCAGACTGGCGGATGTCTTGCAAGTCCAAGTGTTCCTCAGGCGTGTGGGTTTAGGGGTGCCAGAAGCACAGGCCAGGTGTTTTTTTGTGGTTTGGTCTCCATGGGCTTAGAGTTGCCCCTCCCGTGGTCCACACAGCTACATACAATTTATGCATCTTTTGGAAGGAAAGGCCTTGTCCCCCTCCCCTCATTCAGACGCCATTCGCCACACTGCAAAGCCCCCGCGTCGATCCCTCCTTGGCTACAGAGGGAAATGGAAAGCTTCCCCATTACCTATATTTGATATCAAACACTGTGGAATCTTCATCGTCATCTTCATCTTCGTTCAAGGGGGCCATCTCCACCCGTTCTGCCGGTGTCGTGATGATGTCGTACTTGCGGGTTTTCTTCATCTTCCGGCCAGACCTAAAACAGGAGGGTGGAAAATTATGCTTTGATATTGCTGACGCCAGAGACCAGAATTTCCTTGAACTCAACCAAATGGCTCAGAAGAAGCAGACTGAACAGATCTTGTCCCCCTGCCTGCCTTGCCCCCTACTCCATCTAAAGCTGCCCAGAAGCTGCTTTGGCTGGCAAAAGAAAGGGCTGTTGGAGGTACGGGGAAAATAAGAGACTCTATTGTTAGACCCTAAGTGGGAATTTGAACCCAGGTCTGCCCAGCTCTGGGAACAATTGACGGGAAAAGAAGGGGCCAGCAGAGGATGAGGTGGCTGGATGAAGTCACTGAAGCAGTGGGAGTGAGCTTAAGTGGACTCCAGGGGATGGTGGAGGACAGGAAGGCCTGAAGGAATGTTACCCGTGGAGTCTTGATGGGTCGGATGTGACTTTGCAACTAGCAACAACTGCCCAGCTCAAGCACAACAGGTGACGAGCAGGTGCCCCACCTGCTTTCCCCCATCAAGGCACGACTCCGTTTTGTGCTGGTTGCGTTCCATTTGCTTTGCAAAATGCCGACCAGCAAAGGGAACGTCACTCCGCATTTAGGTTCATCTGAGGGAATCGGTATAATAAAGCAGGCATTGCTAGAGAAAGAGCTGAGGCTGCCAAAAAGTGTCCCTCAAAACAAGGACTGTCTCTCCCCACAAAGACGCCCCCCCCCCCCACATCCTCCCTTGGCTTCAGAGAGACAAACAGAAAGCCATCCAATTACTAAGCAATGTGAAAGCTGATGCTCCAATTAACAAACCCTTCTCTCTAAACGGCTTGCTTTGATGTTGATTTACAATGGACACAGACAGGGGCCGGCACATGTGGCGCAGGTCGCATCCTGGACTCGCACAGAAAGGTGGCCTTTTCGGCATCAAAGAGGTGTCCGAATTGCCTGCTCAGCTCATCGCAGGGTCTCCTCTTCCACAAGGCCTGGTTGACCAGCAAGTATTTCAGGCCTGAACACTTTCTGCTTCAGGAACGCTAATGTGCAGAAAGCCGCACAAGCACCCCTCCCTCCACCCATGGAGATGCTCCCCTGAACCAACCATGCACAATTTGGACCAGGACTAGATGGAAAGTGGGCGGGGGGGGGCACAAGGCAGGGGTGAATTCAGGTAAGGTCCGATCTCGGCAGAGAGGACAGGATGCCCTGCTGCCTCCCTCGGACGATGGCTTGGTAGAAGGGCCGAGGCCCCGTGGCACTGCAGGTGAGGCCGCATCCCCTTCCCCAGGTGACAGTGCAACGCCCCACCCGCACGAGGGTGATTCATGGTCCTTAATATTATTACGAGAGACAGCCGGGCTATTTGTAAAGAAAAAACCACACACACACTTGCAAAACGAAAGATAGTTGCACACCACGCGAAGGGGCACGGACCAGCTCTCTTTGCTGCATCAGAAGCAAACTGCGGGGAAAGGCGGGTGGGCAAGGGAGTCCAGATTTTAGGCAGCCTCCAGCCCCTCCCAGAGGGCCACCATGAATGCCTTTGCAGCGGGAAACAATGCCCCGTTCATCTCTCGGTGCCTCTGACCCGATGTGCTTTGCATCGGCAAGCCAAGGGCAGGGACTCACTCGGGGCCCAACCGGCAGCATGAGCACAAAAGCCGTTCTTTTGCGCGGTGCGCTCACAGCACGCTCACCCCACGTCACGTGGCCCAGCTGACAGCTCAGAAATCACCGAAATCCAGAAGCCTCTTGATGAATTGACCCGAGCTTAAACCAGCCAGTCCACAGGGGGTGAGATTTAGACCTCATCGTGTTGATGAGACCTGGAGGAGCTGTGTGGTGGCATCGTTGCTTTGCGGCTGCAGAAAAGCCTTTCTGATGTGCTTCCCCACCTTTTGGGGTAACGCAGGGAGGTGGGGGGTGTGGGTCAGAGAGGAGGAGAGAGCGAGACACTTCCAGGATGCACACGCACTTTAAACCCTAAGCCAAGATCAAGGGGCAACGGCAGCTCTGAACCAGAGCGGGGCAAGAATACACACCGTTCTTTGCCCAGAAATTCCACCTTGCCGGCTGAGGTCCTCCGGGAAGGATCCTGTGAAGTCTGCTCTGCCAGATCAACCTCAGTTACCCAGCAGACTTTCTCAGTGGCTGCCCCCAAACTAAGAAATGGCCACCCGGGAGATGCGTCAGCTGTTCCTGACTGTCACTTCCAAGCAGGAGTTAAAGACATACTTCCTCTGACAGGCCCTCCCAGATTAGTGTAATTTAATGTGCCTGTTTTCAGTCTACATTTGAATTGCTTTTGGTGTTATTTCTTCATAAACTACCTATGGGAATGGTTCACTATATAAAAATCAAAATAAACGAACGAACGAACGAAACTGCCAGTGTTCTTTTTTAAGCTGTTACACTACAGTAAGTGGAATAAGCAATGAACAAGCGGGCTGCTTGCAAACTTATCGGGAGAACCCTGCCGAAGCTGCGCAAGCCCAAAGCAAGCAAAGTCCAGCGGTCTGTGGCCAACCAGCTGCCCGTGGAACACCCACGAGCAAGACAGGGGTACCTCCCTGCCCATGCTCCCCAGCAGCAGTGTGCACAGCAGAAGGATGGAGGGACCACGCAGCCAACCGAACAGTGGGACAGCTTTCTCCTCTGGGAACTGGTCTAGCCCCCTTTTAACACCATCCGGTTCATCCCAGCATCTTGTGGCAGCGAATTCCGCACTTCAGAAAAGTGAATGTGGACACTGCTACCTGTATAAACAGTCACCTCGAGAGACAATGTTCACACAGCTTCAAAGGTCCCCATCCTGGAATCGCAGTCTTAGGGCTGAGACGCCTCTGGAGACCACGCCTGAACACTGTGCTCACTGCGAGATGCAACCACACCCCTCGGTGCCCGTCTTGATCTGTTGGTCCCCCAGCAATTCCCATCTTCCGTCACCAGTGAGTGTTCCGGGTGAGGGCCGGGAATCCGCCGCTCCAGCGTAACGCATCCCGCAAAGGAGAGTCTTGCCACCACTTAAGCATTAATTGAAAAGCCTGCTCCATTAGGGCATTTCTCCTGCCGATTACCTGAAATCAGCCTCCAGCTTAGTTTCCACCCACTGTTTCAAGGCTGTCCCCTGGATCAATGGAGCAGCTCCGCTCCATCTGCCTTCCCTCCAGACAGCGCCAATTTCAGAGGAACGGAGTCGTCTAGAGACTAACTTCGTAGCCCTGCTCAGAAGGACTGCCTGCACCTTGGTCAGTTGGACCGAATCGCTGCAATTCGGTGTTAAGGCCAGGACTGTTCCGAGAGGATGTGTGTGTGAACAGCCAGGCATCCAGGTCTTTGCTTCCTGGGGTGCAAAGTCAAGGCCTTGGCTAACAGCTCACATTGCACCCCCCCCCCCAAGATGCATGCACCCTGAATTATCTGCAGCCCTGATTTGACATCACTTGGGGGATGTAATTGCTGGTGATTTAGAAGTAGCCAGTGTTATCTGGTGATTTATCTGTTCAGCTGCTGTTTTAAGAAGCTGCTTTGAAATTACAATCACGAGCAACATAATGAGCTATTAAAAACCACTATAGGTTTACAAGCCGTTTAGGATGTGCTCACAACATCACACTATTTATTCTAGATTAAGCAGTCTAGAAAATAAACTAGCCTCATGCTCTGGCCCCACCTTCGTTAACACTGATTAGAATTACTCCTCAGTGCCCTGGACATGGATTAATTTAGCACAATTTTTTCTTTACTTATCACAGGCTTTCTTTGTAACAAGGCCTTAGGGTATGTGGAAGCTGAGAGAGCTTTTCCCTACCTGCTGCTCTCCAGATGCACTGTATCACAAATCCCAGTGGCCACGCTGCCTGAGGATGATGGCCACTGCAGTCCAATACATCTGGCTGGGTGAAACCAGCTTAAAGTCTGCGGAATTTCCTTCCCCAGACATTTGTTTATTTCTTTTAAGTTTTTATAGACTGTTCTATAGTAGATGCCCTCAGAATGGTATACAAATATTTTAAACATCAGAAAACTTGGTAACGTTAGGAAACATAGTAACACCTGGAAAAAAGAAACCAAATGCATCGATACAACATGGGGAATATGTGGCTCAACAGAACTGAAAAAGGAAAAGATCTTGGAGTAATTCTGGACAATAGGGTAAACATGAGCCAACAATGTGATGCAGCCGCCAAAAGGGCAAATGCTATTTTGGGATGCAGTAACAGAAGTGTAACTTTCAAATCACAAGAAGGAGTAGTTGCTCTATACTCCTCACTAGTCAGACCTCACCTGGAATACAGTGTCCAGTTCTGGGCACCAAGATTTAAGAAAGATGCAGGAATATTAGAAAGGGTCCAGAGGAGAGCAACAAACACGATTCAGGGTTTGGAAACACTGCCCTGTGAGGAGAGGCCGAGAGAACTGGGCATGTTCAGCCTTGAGGAGGGAAGGCTGAGGGGGGACATGATGTCCCTCTAGAAGTCCCTCAAAGGCTGCCACAAAGAGGAAGGCCAAGGTCTCTTCTCACTGATTCCAGAGTGCAGGACACGGAAGAATCAATTCAAGCTGCAACAACCCAGAGTCAGGCTGGACATCAGGAAAAGCTTCCCCACGGTCAGAGCAATAGGGCAGTGGGACCCACTGCCTGGAGAGGTGGGGGGCTCTCCCACAGTGGAGACGTTCAAGGCGAAGCTGGGCAGCCACCTGGGTGGGATGGTGTGATCTGGGTGTCCTGCAACATCAGGGGTTGGACTCAATGGCCTTAAGGACCCCTTTCAACTCTACTCTTCTGTGATTCTATGATTAATGTATATACAAACTTGTCACAGCAGGCTTCTGAAGGTTCTCCTTGATCCTCTTTGGGGCCAACACATAAAAGGCCACGATCCACTAGGAACAGCAGTGAGAGGACGCAATGCTGGCGAAGGAGCTCTTTTCACCACCTTCACTGCCAAAGGCTCAACAGAGAGCTCTTACCCGTGTTCGGCCAGATTCAGCCTGGATTTTGCTTGACCTCCAAGTGCTTCACGGCCCACAGTGAAGTAGACCAAAGTGCCACATGGGCACTGCACATGGGAACAGGGTGCATCGGTGGATCATGTCAACCGCCTGGGTCACTTCCGAGTCCTACAGAGCGAGCTGGGCTTCATCACCATCACCAACCGTATCTGCCAGAAACCCCTCGGAGCCCTCTGGAAACTGAATGGATCCATCAGATGCCGAGATGGACCATTGCGGTGGGTTGCCCGCCCTTGCAGAAGGAATCAGCTCTCAGAAGTTTGAATCTCCCGAGGAAGTGATCCGACCATGACAAAAGGGGTCAGTAACAGACCCTCCCAAGTACTTCTGGGTCACCACCTTC